CAGCCTGTACAGCATCTGCAGGGACATGCACTGGTGGCTGCGGCAGGACCACAAGAACGTGTGCGTGCTGCACTGCACGGTGAGTGTGCGCCGCGTTCGAGGAGGGCTCCGGGGCTGTGGGGGCGGAGGAGTCATGAACCCCGGGCGTCAGATGGGGCAGTGTCCTGGGTGGTGGCCCGGGTGGGGAGTGGGACACCAGCAGCCTGCCCCTTCCTGGGGCGCTGGGCTGGCGCATGCCCCCTGGCAGCGTCTGGGTGCCCAGCAGGGCCCCCCTCCAGGCCCCTGGGCATTAGCTGCTGCTGGGGAAGCTGCCCACACAGGTGCAGCGTGCGGTGGCCCCATGTGCATTCTCTCGTCTCCCCTCGAGGCAGCACCCCAGGGCTCTCCACTGCCCTGCCCCGAGGCCGCTGCCGCAGCACCACCTCTGTCCCTCCTGACGGCAGCTGGGGACCCCTACCCCACTGCGCAGTGAGGCTGAGGTGTGTGGCATCACACGGCACCTGCCGAGTGTGGGCGCGAAGGTCGGCACAGCTGTCCTGGTGCTGGGCAGACTCACTCGGGAGTGACACCAGGAGGGCTCAGGGAGGGGTGCATGTGGGGGGCAGTGAGGCAAGCGTGTCCCGTTGGAGACGCCGCGTCCTGCGCCGTCACGAAGGCGCCCGTCTGTGTGGACGAGTGTCTGCACGTTGAGGACGTGCTCTGCCCCCGGGAGGCGTGCTGGGCCCCAGGGAGCTGCCTGTGCCTCTCCTAGGACGGGAGAGCGGCGTCGGCCGTGGCCGTCTGCTCCTTCCTGTGCTTCTGCCGGCTCTTCAGCACCGCCGAGGCCGCCGTGTACATGTTCAGCATGAAGCGCTGCCCGCCGGGCATTTGGCCGTCCCACAAAAGGTACCCTGTCCGCGGTCGGACACTGGATGCGGTGTCCCTGGTGTCGCCGTGGGCCCTGGAGGCTGGAAGGGTTTCGGAAAGGGGTGGGCAGTGTGGGTGGGGCGCCAGGCCTGTCCCTGCTGTGCCAACAGGAGCCCGGCCACAGGGTCAGGGAGGGTCAGAGTCAGCCTCCTCGGTCCTGAGTGGCGGGCAGTGCCTCTGTCCGGTTCCCGGGCACCAGCCCTTGTAGCACGTGTGCCCCTGAAGCCTGTGTCTGAGGCGACGGGCAGCACTCTGGCTGCCAGCTCTGTGCACGTGGGTCTGTTTGGGCGAGTGATGCTGGAAGAAAGGAAGGTGTTGAGGCCCTTCCTTCTGCCCTGGATGGTGGCGCAGCCTGTGGACAGTGGGCGGGCGGGGAAAGGCCGTCCTGCTGTGGGACCACCTGGATGCAGGGAGCCGGCCACCAGCTGTGTCCTGTGTCGCGGGAAAGTGGGCGAGGCCACCAAGCAAAAGGACTGCTGACCCTTCCAACATGTGACCCGAGTCTTTTTAAAAAATGTTTTTATTGATTTTTTTAGAGAGAGAGGGAGAGAGAGAGAGAGAGAGAGAGGGGAACGTCAGCGAGAGAACACCCATCGGCTGCCTCCTGCAGGCCCCCACTAGGGGTGCAGCCCACAACCCGGGCACGTGCCCCGACTGGGAATAGAGCTGTGACTTCCTGGTTCATGGGTTGACGCTCAGCCACTGAGCCATGTGGGCCTGAGAGCCGTTTTTGCTCCTGAATTCCAGCTGTGCCGAGGGTCCGGAGCCGCCGTGGGATCCCGCGAACAGCCGCTCACCATCGGGGCAGAGTGGGAGGAGGGCTGTTAGTGGGGAGTGGCCTGACGCTGGGACCCCCGACCCCAGCTGCCTCCTCGGGGACGTGCGCGGGTGCAGAGCTACTTAAAAAGCAGTGGGACCAGCTTCAGACTCAGGAACAGCGCTTGGCCCTCAGAGAAATGGGCCCGTTCGCAGTCAAAGCCAAGGATGTGAGCCGGGGGCCAGAGGAGGGCCAGCCAGTGGTCAGCGCGTGTGCAGAAGCAGGCGAGACCGCAGAGATTGGGGAATCCACCCTCAAGTCCCCGAGGGCGCTCACAGATGGGTCGGGGTGTGGCTCCCAGGGGCACAGGCAGGAGCCCAGAGGTGCCTGACGGGAGGTTCACTGCGGCTGAGGACGGTGTTGCAGACACTGAAGGGAAGGCGGCACCTGCAGGGCAGGGAGGCAGGGAGGCTGCGAGGGAGAGGCCTGGAGATGCTGGGCCTGGCCGTGCAGGCGCCGTGAAGGCCGCCTCCCACGTGTCGGTCTCCAAGGGCCAGCAGGAGAGGACCCCAGAAGGCGCTGGATGCCACCCGCCACACCCTCCTGGGTGGGGTCACGGAGCCCTGACCAGCCAGGCGCCGGGAACTTCCTCAAGGTCACGACACACCAAACCTCAGGTGCTCGGGACCCAGCAGGATTGAGCAGCCCAGATGGACACAGCAGGCCAGCTGCTGGCCCGTGCTCCCCGCGGAAGCCACGCTCAGGTGAGCGGAAACTGCTGGCAGCCATTGCAGAAGGTCCCGTGAGAACCCGGGGCAGCGGGAGACTCTGCTGTCCTGGCAGCCAGCGGGGGAAGCAGCCAAGAGAAGACCAGGGAGGAGAACTCGGCGGAGCAGCTGACAAACCAGCCCCCGGCCGGAGGGTGCCGCCCGCCATGGCGGCCGTGGAAGGGTGGGGGCAG